CGCGGAAGGTGGTCTTGTTGCCCACATCTGCGGAGTACCCCGTGGTGGGCGCGTCATTCATGCGGATTGTGCACTCGGCCCGTTCAATCTCAGGACCCAGCTTGGTGCCCAGCAGGTGGCTGGAGCTGGTGACAATCACACACTGGTGGCACCGGGAGGGCAGTGTCTGGGGGGAGCAAGGAAAGTCAACACTTGTCACAACCACTCTCTGTGCCAGGCCCTGGGCTCTGTACAGTGAGGCCTCCAGGAGGCCAAAATAATTATGCCCATTTTAAAGACAGAGAAACTGACGCCCATTCATTCAACAAACGTTCATAGCAAGCTGGCTAATGGTCAAGTACGCAGGACAGAGCAACCAGCAAAAGAGACCCCACTCCTGCCTTCGAGAACTCATGGTTGGCCTGGCCGGTGTGGCTCAGTGGTTGAGCATCCACCCACAAACCAGGAGATCATGGTTTGATTCCCGGTCAGGGCACATATCTAGGTTGCAGGCTCGATCCCCAGTAGGGGGTGTGCAGGAGGCAGCTGGTCCATGATTTTCACTCATCATTGTTTCTATCTCTCTCTCTCCCTCTCCCTTCCTCTCTGAACCAGAGCCTGGACTCCCAGGGCCCACCCTTTCCTTTAGGAGGGATGGCGAGAGTGGAGAGAAAAGGAGGAGGGAGCAGGGGTGGCAGGCAATGGGGAGGACCACTCCCAGGGAGTTCCCCAAAGTGGCTGCCCTACCTTGTTGCCCAGAATGGGGACATAGCCATCGGTGATGCTCCACTTCTTGAGGTTGATAGGCCTGCGACTGCGGCCGCGCAGGGAGCCATAATGGAAGACCTCGTTGGCACTGTTGGAGCTGTAGAGGATGAGGATGGTGATGAGAGCAAAGAGGATCACGAACACTGCTGACCGCTGCTCCTGAGAGGGGAGAGGACTGGTGAGGTCCCAGCGACCGTGCAGGCTCGGCGCCCTGCCTCATTACCACCTGCAACACCTGGCTAACGCCTGCTCCTCACCCCTAACACTACCTCCTCCAGGAAGGCCTCCCACAACCCCCTGAGCACTGATCACGCTGCCGTGAGTTCCGCGGCTGGGACTGGGTCAGTCTCGCTCCCCACTGTTTCCCAGCTGTCAGGGTGGGGACCGGAGCATAGAAGGTTCTCAGAAGGAGGGTCTGCCGGATTGGACTGTATGTGGGTGTCAGAAGGCTTCCTCCAGCTGGGAGACAGGTGGGATAGTCCAATGAGAGGACCCAGGCCTTCCCCACACAGCAACTCTCCATACATGTTCATCGTTCCTTTACCCCTGGAGGGGATCTGCTCAGGGATTGGGCTGCCTGGGTAGAGAGTGCACCACCATGGGGATGACAGGGCAGGAACGTCATATCCAAATCGCCCACTGGAAGCCGTCTGTGCGGGTCTGCAAGGCTCGCTGAGCCTGTGGAACGCTCTGTGCTGGGTGTCCGTGTATTGTTTCTCAGCTCCAAGTTCACCCTTTTTGGCAGCTCTGTGAGAATGGATCTGGGCTCTTGGTTTTTTCTTGCCAGCTAACTGCATGTTAAGCTTTGTCGGTAGAGGGCGCTGGAGAGACACTGCAGGAAGAAAGGCCTGGACTTCCTGCTTCTGATGCTCTGGCTTCTTAGGCACGTGCTTATCTCCTGCGCCCAACGCCCGCTGGGAAGCCAGCACCCAGCAGATTCCTCCAGAACCTGCAGTACCTGCCCTCAGGCAGTTTTGACCCTGCTGTGATCACAACCTCTTCAGAGTGGAGCTCAGTCACCCACCACCTGCAACATCCAGAGACCAGCAGCTCCCTCCCTGGAGCAGTTCTGCCTGGAGGCTGGGTGCCTCCTGGGTGGACTTGTGATAACATCACCAGTGGGCACTGCACTGAGTTCTCGGCCATCCAGCGGCCCATAGTGTGCCCTCCCCAGAAGGCTTGGATCTCAGCCCTGGGGCTGGTGGCTGCTCCTTGTACCTGCTATTCCTGTATTCCTTAGAATTCCAATCCCTCATTACTCCTGCCCGATTATAGTTAATAACTCTTTACATTAAACTTGCCCTGTTCAAATTACTATGTGGGTTCTCTCTGCCGACTGGACCCAGACTGATACGCCCACATCACCCTGCCCCCAACCCTCAGGCTCTGCTGCAGTGGATTTCGGAAGGGGGTATGCAGGACCAGGCAGATAGCAGGTGCTCAGGAAAACATGAATGAGTGGATGATGGGGACACCCTCAGAAGGATGCTCACAACATTCTGTCACCTTTGACTGACCTCTGCCCCCTCCTCCAGACTCCCACTCACCTCTACCTCCCAGCCCGACCCCTGCACAGCATTCCAAGTCACCTTGGACCTGGGCCCAGAAAGGCAGGAGTTTGCCCAAAGCCACACAGATCAGTGGTACAGCAGGGCTCAAACCAGGGCCTCCCAGGCATCAGCCTCATCTAGGCAAGGAAGAGAGACTTGTGGTGGCTTGGTCCTGAGAGGCCCATCTCACTGAGAGAAGTAAGAGGCTGAGATGGAGTAAGAAATGAAGGACTTACTTTGTTGCTACTCATCTCTCTCCGGCGTCTGCTGAGGGGCAGGAGCCAGCGTCCTGCACGTGGCCCAGGGGGCAGGGATGTGGGCTCACACCTGCGAGTCACAGAAAGGGTTATGGCCTGAGTGCCCTCCCGGAGGTCCAGCTGGTCAAAGGCTGCACCGTCCCTACCACCCCTGCCAGCTCTCCTACCTCCCCATGACTTCAAGACTCAGGGCTGTATCCATTTTACAGATGGAGACACTACAGCCCAAAAAGGGCAGAAAACTGCTTGAGGTCACAGGGCCGCGTGGTGGCAGAACCCCGCCTCTCTCCCTGCCTGTTCCTCCCTTCTACGCTGCCCTCTCAGCAGGGTCCTCTCCTTACCCTGGCTCTCCTAGGCAGCTGGCTCCCATGCTGGGGGCCTGCCCCCCATCCAGCAGAAACCCCTACTCTAAACCCTGCTTCAGGTCCCCGGGGCCTTGGAATAAAGCAACATCTCTTGTGGGTCCCAAACTCCTCTGCACCTGCACCTGCACCCTTCCAGGTCTGGCATAAACTGTCTGCAACACCTGCCAGCACCCTGCTCACGCCCACTCATCCTCCAAGCCCAAGGTGGGCCGGGAACTTCCCCTAGTGTCACCTCCCCAGTAGGCTGAGAGCTCTCACAGATCCGCACTCACATCCGCTGCGGTGCCGCCAGAGCCCTGAGATGGGTGCCAGAGGATGGCTGAATGATTTCATTCATTAACGGGAAGATCTTAGGGGTTAAGGACACAGACTCATCTGTCAAATGGCGACAATCACTGCCCCACCCTGAGGGTGTGTGGGATCCTCAGGGGACAAGGCACCCTTGGGCAGCCCTTGCTTCCTGCCCCCGCCTCAGAGGCCTCTGCTGTGAGGGAACACGCCCAGGTCTGCTCCTCGCTCCCCCACCGGCACCCAGCCCCTCCTTGCAGGACCCAGATCTCAATGTCCCCACCTGTCAAACGGAAACAAGTACTTGTGTCCAGCCGCCTCCAGCTGATTCAAGTCCAGACGGCTCTGAGGTTGGCAGAGTGCAAAGGGAGAAGCTGGGGGCTCGGGGATCCCCAGCTCCGGCCTCCCTGCCACGGCCTCCCAGCTCCCGCCACCATCTCCGCCCCCTGACCTAGCTGCTGTTTACTCCTACACCGCCACCAGGAATAGCCAGAGAACCTCCGGCCAAACACACACACACGATGCTCCTGATTGGCTAAGCCCTGACTCCGCCCACCACCTAACCCGGCCCTCGATCTGCCACGCCCCCTCCGACCCCCCACCCCCGCCAGCCTCTGGGGCCGGGTTTCAGGTTTCGGGGTTTCTCCCAGGCCGGCCCTCAGAGCCAGCCAGGGAGGCCCAGGGACTCTCACCAGGTACAGATCAGGAAACGGAGGCCATCAGAAGGGAAGAGTGGCCTGTCTTTCGACTCAGAGCCCATTAGAGCAAAAGGTGGGAGCCCAGAATTCCAGGGTCGCCCCCATCAGTCCAGTCGCCCCTGGCATTCCAGGCCCTGAATGGCCTCTGCGCTGAGCCTCCTCCCTCACTATCCTTTCCTTCAGATGCCCCTTGCTCCAGACACTCTAGAGCACTCCAGTTCCCAGACGCACCCCCCCTCCCCCAATTTTCCCACCTTGGCCTGAGCAGTGCCCTCAGCCAGGACCATGGTCCCCTGGTCAGCCCCGTCACAATCCTGCTCTGGAGGAGGCCATGGTCAATACAGCATCTCAGGTTCAAGTGTGAATCCCGGTTCCACCACTTACTGGCTGCGAGGCCTTAGGGCAAGCCATGTACCTCTCTGAGCCTCCGTTTCCTCATCTGTGAAATGGGAGGAATAAGAGCAGGTAACTCAAGGGGATGTTGGGAGGATTCAAGCCCGTGTGGCCAGGGAAGCAGGGGGTTGGCAGGGGCCGGGTCCGTGCCAGCGGCCGTTCGGCCGGTGGTGATTCATTGCTCAAGGCCTGGCTCCCCGAGTTTGTCAGCAAAACATTCCCTCTCCTCGGACCCCTGGCCCAGCGACTTCACTCTCCTAACAGGAATGTATACAGGAGCCAGCGAAGCGTCACCCACTAACTCAGTCTTCCGGGCAACACTGCGGGGTAGGGGCTCTCCCTCCCCAATTCAGAGATGAGACTGGGGTTCAGGGGCTGTCGGAGCCTGCTGGGAGCCTTGTTTCTGGGTACCAGCCCAGGGCTGCGGTGGACGGGATCCCCCTCAAGGGTACCCAGGGCTGGAATGGGCCAGAGGCCCCGAGTGTGTGCCCAGCCCCGGCCTGGACCGGGAGGCAGGCCTGCTGGGGAGCGACTGGCTGGGGCTGGGAAGCGGCCGCCCGGAGCACGGGCCGGAGCGTGGACTCTGACCCAAGGCGGACCCTGCAGGAGGGCTGCGTCCTCAGGGTGAGGGCGGGGACCACACCCGGCCCTCTCTCTGGGGGCTTTGCCTGCCCAGCTTGGGGAGTCCTCTCCCAGGGTCGGGGCGCCCCCACGAGCAGCGTGGGAGGAGGGCTCCGAGGAGAAGGGGGAGGGGCAGCTAATTCCCGGTCCGGGGAGCGCCGTGCCCGTGGGTCCACCTGGGGTGGGGGCGACTCACCCTCTGCACCCCCTTGGCGCTGACCCACCAACTCCCGCACTCCGGGGGGTCCAGAGCCCAAGGCCCGACTGGGGGAGGAGGGCGGCCGGGTCCCCGAGCTCCAGGGGGTGGACAGAGGCAGGAGGCCCCGCGAACCCCACCACAGCCCTTGGGCACCTGGACCGGGACCTCGGGGCGCGGTTGCCTAGAGAGTGGGTCTCGGGCTCCCCGGGGTCCCCGCACCATCACCCCATCCCCCGAGGCTCCGACTCCCCCCGGGCGCAGGCAGTGCCCCCTCCCGCTGCCCGCCCCCGCGGCGCCCGCTCACCTCCCCCGGGGAGCGCCCGGCCCCCCGCGGCCCCCGAGCCCCCTCACATGGCGCCGGGGCTGAGCGCCGGGTCCGGGATCCCCCGCTCCTCCGGCCGCCCAGGCCCC